CATTCCAGGCTTCCCTGACGAAATACCGCCAGCACATTTCATCAGTTGGCGTTTCTCCCTGGAGGGAAGGCCACACATCGACCGCGAAGCCGATCATGTCGAGGTCATGGGTGGCTATGGCGGCTCCGAGAGCAGGGCCGAACACATCGCTCCGTTGCTTTTGCTCCTTGTCCTCGGCCACGCACACGCCCGATACCAGTTGCTTCACCAGTGGCTTCTGCTTGAGATACATGGCTGCCACAAGCAGATCAGTTCGCCGATCGGCTTCCGATGAGACTTTCCAGTGTACATTCGGGGCAAACATGGCCGGTAACGTTTTGGCGTATCCAGTCCGCGCATAACGCGCTGCAAGTTCACAAAGGGGCACCAAATACTTCATCACAGCGTCCTTTCCCACGTCTCCGCTATCTCTCCGACATATTTCTTCGGCGGTGAGACGTACGTGGGACAGGAGTGAATGGGGGTAAACTTCACGCCACGCTTGGTGAGCGATATACCTGTGGATGTAGTCGAGCCAAAAAGGGCGACTTGGTCCTTGGCGATTGAACAGTTGGTAATGCTCGACTCGGAACACACTACCCAGGATGCGCATGCGTAAGATAGCATCGTCTATTGCATCTCTAAACTGCCCTGCGCGACGCCTTAGCTAACCTGCGAGTGAAGTGATCCGGGGCCAACCCAGCCAAGAGGATGAGAAGAAGGGAGAAAGAAAGGAGAGATCGGATAATAACCTACGATTCACAAGTCTAAGTCTCATCACACGAGTAAAGTGCCGAGATAGGACGATGGCATCGAACAATTCATCTAATAACTCTGGCGGGAGGTCAAAAGGGGACGGCATGTCTTTTTGTGGCGCTCAGCGGATTGAAACAACGATCAATCGACAGTGGGTTTCCTAATTTGGACTCTCAGAGTATAATAGCAGAGGGATAGAGGACTTAATCTGCTGTGAGGATAAAAACTGTGGAGGGATGTGCTTTGCCTTCATCGAATAGAACAGGAGGTGGATTTGGGTGAGAATAAAATTAACCTCACGTGTGGCTGGACTGCCCACCGCCCTGGTCCTGCCTAGAGGGAGAATTACCACTCCGATTGGGGGCTAAAATTTGCGCTGAGCCAGGCAGCTCTGAAGATTAATGCGGTTGTGACTCTGTTCGGTTACCGTCATTGATGTCTGCCTGGTGTTGATCCTTCCCCGTATCCCCGCCCTGAAACTCACCGTCAAAAGTGCAGTCCGTCGAAATCTAGATATAATCCCAGCGAGGGCTGGGTGACTCTCGTTTGCTTATGACTACCTGCGGGCATAGATAGCGGATGCAAAATTGTGCCAATCTACGAAGTAGAGTCAGACCAATTTGTATTTGATTATCTGCTGTTTCGTGTCTCCGGAGTTGTGTCGCCGGTCTGGCCCAAAACCCGGAACACCCGCCGCCACACCCCGCACGTCTCCAGTTTAACGGGGGACTTTCACGAGCGGTGGTGTGCGAAGTGAAGGGGGCTATTCCGGGTTCGACGAACGAGCGGGGCGCTCGGCGATAGAGAATCTACATTGTACTTCCTCTCCCATTCGAGGGACAGAGTGCCGAATTTATTTAACTAGTGATGGTACCAGGATACCAGGACCTAGACAAGACGCACAGCTTTTTTACCAGCATCTCAAGAAGGGTGAGGAATCAATCTGAAAGAAAAGGAGGCCTAATGGCACCCTGATCTTCCAAATCGACCAGTATTCGCGGAACCATCTCATCCAAGCTCTATGGCCTTTTTGGGGTTTTAAAATCATTGTTTGCATGCCTGCTATTTTTAGGAATCGGCTCCACATTACAAACTACATACCTGGAACTCAGAGTTTGTGTCAAAGACTAGGTTGAGATCCGGGGGGGCAGGGCTGATGCGGAATCTCGGGATCTACATCGTTTAGAATCGCAAGGCGGGATTTACTAGAAGGGACCCGGAAGTGTGCAATGATCTACATCGCCTGGAAGAATATAAATACATGCCGCGGAATGTTTTCCTCGGGCTTAGTCCACAGAGAAACGGCAATCGTGGTCATGGATGCGTACAATAATTCTCTTTACACTCGTTAAAGGTACAAAAGATTTTCGTTTCCGTTTTTTTTTCCCCCCTTACTATTTACCTTATCCAACCCCGAGGTCCCGCCCAAGTACCCTTTACCATAAAGTTGGAGTAAACCCATGGGAAGAAATCCTTCTTCAAAAAGTAAAATGGCCGACGTGGAACTCCTTGGTCGATGCCGAACCAGCCGGCAAAGGTCTCCTTTGGCTCGCCGCCGTACTTGAACTCGGCAAGGAGTACCTTGCCGTACTCGGTCAGCAGGGGACACGAGGTGTATCCGTCGTACACCGACTCGACCTCCTTGCCATCGACGGACTTGAGGACATTGGATACTAGGACGGGGACCTGCGACGTGATGGCCGCGATGGTCTTGGAGGTGGGCAGGTTGGCGGAATCGCCCGCCGACCAGACATTGGCGTACTTGACGTGTCGCAGGGTGTCGGGCGCGACGTCAACGAAGCCGGTTTCCTTGTTGGCGAGTTCGCTGTTCTTGACGAAATCGTAAGCTCCCATCTTGGGAACCGCGTGCAGGAGATCGAACTTGCGCTCGACGCGCTCCTGCTTGCCGTCGACGGCGTGAGAGAAGACCGCTGTGCTGCCGTTCACCTCAATCAGGTCGTGTTGGAAGAGTCCCTCGACGCACCTCTCCAAGCGTAGTGCGTTGAGAGTCTCGGAGTACTTGGGCACGCCGAACATGGCGCCCGCTCCGGTGGCGAAGGTAATGTGGATGGGCGAGCCCTCAGGGCTGTTAGGGCTGTAGAGACCCGCTCGCTTCCAGTGGTCAAGGGCGAGCCACATGGCCTTTTGCGGGGCGCCGGCGCACTTTACGACGCCTGTGGGCTGGGTGAAGATGGCATTTCCCTTGGTCAGGTTCTTAATGGTGCGGAAGGTCTTGTCGCAACCCTCGTAGCCATAGATGGTGGACACGGGAGCGTTGGGGTCGGCAAGGGCTTCAGGCAGGCCCTTGATGCTGTCGTAATTGACCTTGATCCCCGGCACGACGACGAGGTGATCGTAGTTGAGTTTGTCACCATTGTCCAAGGTCACAGTGTTGTCCTCTGGAGAGAAGGAGGTCACACTGTCGTTGTAAAAAGAAAGTTTGGAATCAATCAAGTCCTTGAGGGGTGTCCGTAGGTCCTCCTTGTTCTTCAAGCCACCGCCGACCAGGGTCCATCCCGGCTGGTAGTGGTGCCATTCCGCGGGATCGACAACGGCGATGTCCCCCGGAGCGAACTTGCCAGATCGGAGGAGCTGATGGCTGATCGCCAAGCCCGCGCTGCCGCCGCCCACGACGACAATCTTGTGGCTCTTATTGGAGATCAGCGGGCTTTCTGTGGCGAAGCCCCGAGTGAGCGGCACGGACAGCGACGAGGTGAGTCGGCGACATGCCGGGGACCTCGTGGCTGCGACCCGAAGGAGAACCATTGTGGACTGAGAATGAGGTAAATAGGACTGAGTGGGGAGGGAAAAACGACGAAAAAAAGAATGATAATGAATGGGATGGAGAGAGAAAGGAAAAAAAAGAAGGAAAGAAAGAACAAAATTTGGAAAGGTAGTTGGGAAATTATCTATAGACACGGGGCGGATTCTACGAGCTCGAAGCGAGGCACACGGGGCGGGATTTTACCTCCATGGGTGGCATCAAAGCCGGGCCAGCCTTGGCTTGCCACACACTACGCAGCACACTAGCATTGCACGCATTGGTACGCAAGCAATGAAACAAATATAGATTAGAACGGGAACCGCCCGGGCTAGTGGAGAGCGGGAGCCGTCGAGCTAAGTGGCAAATTTATGCAGAGAAGGTTGATGTTTGAGCCAGTGTCAGTTCAATGTTCCTGAACAAGGGGCGGCTTCGATCCGGACACGCGGAGCCGCCATTCCGATCTGCATCGCTGATGGATATCATTTGACAAGGGTCGTTGAAATTTTTTGATTAGTGAACAAGGGGGCCACTCGTATTTTCAGGGTCCTTGGAGCTTGGTGCTTGGAGCCGGGGGTGATCATTTTTTTTTCTTCAAGTTTTTCTTCCGTCCCTGAGGAGACAGCGCGGAAAACTTGCTCATCGTACGATCTGCCTAGCGGAAGCTTGGGCTTTTAAAAAGGATGATCGCCGAACAAAGTAAATAAAGAAGGTGTCCAAAAAATATCATTGGCTCCTCTCCGGATTCAACCGAAGTTAGAAGCCAGATCGACGTTATTTCGTGCAGAGTTATGACCCCCCCCCCCCCCGAGAATCCTGAGAATCCTGAGAATGGACAGATAAAATCTGGGGTCAACGCTGTTTCGCCCGTTTCGCCCTGGTGGCGAAGGGACCCGCTCAACCCGCTGAGCCGATCCGGGGAGTTTCTTTTTCGGCGACCACAACTTCGGCGACCATCGGGAAGCATCGGGGGCAACCTTGGCGGAAAATCTCCGAGAGGGAGAACGGGGATCATGGGGCCATCATCAGATCTCATGAGATCCCATGGCATTGCTAGAGAAAGCCTTCGTCGCCGATAAGAAGATATTAATTTCAATCCCATCGTCAATGCGTTCAATGCGTTTCGTGCATTCCCATGCGTCCCCTTTGAGATTCAAGTTGCTCTCTTCGCCGAAATTATTAATTCAGCCACCCATCATCGTCACATTGCGAGGCGTTTTGCTTGGAAATCGCCCTCTTTCCTCGCCTTTGCTCGCCGAATTGGATCGAATTGAATAGAATAGCTCAAGCTCGAACATTTAAGCTCAGAGATTCAACCTCTTTTTCATCCTTCACGATGCAATCCCTTCGACGAAAAGTAACTTCGAATCTCATTGCGAGGCCATCGGGACTAATCTCAGCTTCGCCGTGTAAAGTCTGCACACAAATTCACCCACTCAGGAAAATAACAACGACATCACCAGCAACAACAACCGCAACCAGAACAGCACCAATCATCCGCACCATGTCTCTTACCAGCTCTGTTAACGGTTCCCAGCAGCCTGCTTCCGCCCCAACTGCCACTCCAGGAAGCAGCGCCTCATACAGCACGCACGCTCCCTTGGTTCAAGAGCCCGTCATCCACGACATATTCGAAAAAAAGACCAGCACTTGGCAATATGTCGTCGCGGACCCCAACACTCTAAAGGCCGTCATCATCGACCCTGTCTTGGACTACGACCCTGCCACCCTGACCGTGTCCACCGAGTCTGCCGACGCTTTGTTGGCGCTGGTCGCGGAGAAGGGCTACAAAGTCGAGAGGATCCTCGAGACGCATGCCCACGCTGACCATGTAACCGCTGCATCCTACCTCCAGCGCCGATTGGAGAAGCAACAAGGCCACAGGCCTCTCGTTGGCATCGGCAAGAGGATTGTTGGTGTGCAGGAACTGTTTAGCCAGAGATATGGCGTTCCGGAAGAGGAGTTCAGGACGGTTTTTGATGTTTTCTTCGATGACGACGAGGTGTTTGATATTGGCGAACTCAAGGCTACGGCCATTCACCTGCCCGGACATACCCCGGACCATCTAGGCTACAAGATTGGAGGTGAGTAAAGTCGGGGGGGATGCGAACGATTATCTGGATCATAGACTGACAGTGAAAAACGACAGACAATGTGTTTTGCGGTGATTCCGTCTTCCACACGGATATCGGCACTGCGAGGTGCGATTTCCCCGGTGGCAGCGCCGACAATCTTTTCCTCTCCGCGCAGAAGCTCCTCAGCTTGCCGGACCACGTCAAGATCTGGACCGGTCACGACTACCCTGCCAATGACCGCAAAGATCCCGTCGCCTGGCAGTACGTCAAGGACCACAAGCAGGAGAACAAGCATATCAAGGAGGGCACCACCTTGGATGACTTTGTGGCCATGCGGAAGGAGCGAGACAGCACGCTGGGAGAACCGAGGCTGCTGCACCAGTCACTTCAGATGAACATTCGGGGAGGACAGCTTCCCCAGAAGACGGCTTCAGTGCACCGGCTGATCAACGTGCCCTTGAAATTAAAGAACGTTGAATGGTAGAGCTGGCCAGAGCTTGGAGGAGTTGACGGGCGCTAGCAGGAGCGAGCAGGAGCGAGCTGAGCAGCGGAGCGGGTCGTTTATGTGGTTACAATTAGCTATCTGCGGGCTAAATTGATGTACTAAATGAATGTGTTAGCAATTTCGAGCTTGTTCAATACAACTGTCAGTCAACGATGCAAGAGCGGGATCTTGTGAACTCTATTGTCGTGGCCCATTCGAGGGTTGTTAACGTTATGCAAGACGACAGGGCTGGTTATTATTGACATCAGAGGACGGATCGGGAATTCCTCGCATCAGCCCAGTCAAGCTCTTGGGGGGTTCGGTTATGCACTAGTTCCGGGCCCCTGTGAGATTCTGGTACTAGTTTACGAAGTAGATTACGTAGTTTAAAAGTTGAAGCCCTGAGCTGGAGCCTGGATCTGAGAGCTGAGGTCCTCCATGATTCCCCAAGTCCGAATCAAATCCGAACAGAGTCACGTGATGAAACCCATCGGAGTTTGCAACAAGCCCCGATGAACGCGTCATAACGTCAGAGCGGTCGCATTCCACGTGATCTGCAGGCGACTTATCTCGAAGCGGAAAGAACGGCAAGACATGGGTGGTTCGCCAAGAGATATCGGACTCGGATTTGGAACAAGATCAACTCCAACTCCAAGTCCCGGCCGAGTGGGTCCGACTATCTCCCATGTGGTTAATCGACCGCTGCTGTGGGGACCAAAAGCTTCTTCCTTGCCTTCCAAGCGTGCAAAAAATTCGTGTTGTTTTGTCTTGCCTCCCATCAAGCCGAGGTTCAAAGCTTTCAGCTCGGATTGGGTGGGCCAGACAGGTACTTTGCGCACCGCTTTGTACCTTAAAAAGGAGTAATATTTAGCGAGGGCTCCATATGAGCTCCATATAAAAGGAGATAACGGAGTGGATGAATCGGATTCGGGATGTTGCGTGGGATGCGCCTGCCAATGCCACAGATCTGGGTTTGCATCGCCGGTTCCATGGTTGTATCGTCTTGGATTTGAAAAGCAGCCCTACCCAAGGAGCCAAGATCAAATCCGTCGGGTTGGCTGCATCTTGTGCCCGTCCTAAGTAATTATTAATAGAAAAGGCCTTTTGAATCAATCGGATCTGACGGCCCCTGCGAGATGCTACGAGATGGGGGGTGTGTGGCCTGTTTCCGCCATTCCCCTTGCCATCTCTTGTTGGTCCGTTGGTGGTGAACATAACGCATTAGGGAATTAAGGCCCCTCATCCGTGTGTCTCCGGGGGGGCGGACAATTTAAATCCGACGGGTTTGATCGCGGGATGCTACGACATCACATTCTTTTTCTAATTTGCTATTTTTCTACTTATTTCCTTTATTTTGTATACATGTAGTCGAGATCCCATCTTGCACGTACCCCTTACCTTTCTCCCATTCCTCTCCTTTCATTCCGTGTCCTTTAATCGCCCAAGGTAAAAGTTCTTGCGCTTGATCTCGCACATCGTCAAGCTTCGCCAACACTTGCAAGACTCACGATCCCGCCCCTGGACAAACCCCCCTTCCGATCCCGGGCATGGCCCCCCTCGTCACCACAAACGGGCTAGCGCCCAAGGAGAAAGGTGAGGCTCCGGTTGATGAGCCGGTCGCCGTGACCAGAATACCCGTTTGGCGCATGGTGTTCGATCACGCAGGTGTCACCGACGAGGTCGCCAACTATCCTTTTCAGGGATCTGGTACAGAAGAAGACCCCTATTTAGTGACGTGGATTCCAAACGATCCCAGGAACCCCATGCTCTTCAGTGCTGTCACGAAATGGACACTCACTATGACTGTGGCTTTTACCACGCTTGCTGTAGCGCTGGTATCCTCGGCGTACACGGGAGGCATTATCGAAATCATGCAGGAGTTCCACATCAGCAGCGAGGTCGCTACTCTAGGCGTATCCCTCTTCGTCCTGGGTTTCGCCATCGGCCCCGTAGTCTGGGCTCCCTTGAGTGAGCTTTTCGGCCGACAGATCCTCTTCTTCGGCACCTACCTTGCCCTTACCGCCTTCAACGCCGGCGCCGCGGGCGCCCACAATGCCGCGACTCTGCTCGTTCTCCGGTTCCTCGCAGGAGCGTTTGGTTCATCCCCGCTCACCAACGCCGGCGGAGTCATCGCCGACTTGTTCCCCGCCTCCCAGCGCGGTTTGGCCGGTGCTCTTTTCGCCGCCGCGCCCTTCCTTGGCCCCGTGCTTGGTCCGATCACCGGCGGCTTTCTGGGAGCCGGCGCGGGCTGGCGGTGGGTCATGGGTTATCTCGCCATCTTCTCGGGCTTTTGCTGGATCGTCGGCAGTCTCCTCGTCCCGGAGACCTACGCGCCTGTGCTGCTCAAGAAACGGGCTGCCAAGCTGTCCAAGATGACAGGCAAAGTTTACAAGAGCAAGACCGAGGCTGAGCGAGGCACGGTGACAATTCGCCAATCGTTCGCGACTGCCCTCTCACGACCGTGGATCCTCTTACTCAAGGAGCCGATTGTTCTCCTCCTTTCCATCTACATGGCCGTCATCTACGGAACGCTCTACATGCTTTTCGCCGCATTCCCTATCGTGTACCAAGTAAACCGGGGTTGGAGCCAAGGCATCGGCGGTCTTGCCTTCTTGGGCATCATGGTGGGAATGATAGCTGCCATCACTTACAACTTGTTCGATAATAAGCGCTACATCAGAGTCGAGCGTGAGCACAATGGATTCGCGCCGCCCGAGGCTCGTCTTCCCCCGACAATAGTTGGCTCCATCGCCCTCCCAATCGGCCTTTTCTGGTTCGCCTGGACGAATTCTCCGAGCATCCACTGGCTGGCCAGCATCGCCGCCGGTGTCCCGTTCGGCTTCGGCATGGTCCTCGTCTTCCTGAGTCTCATGAACTACCTCATCGACGCCTACACCATCTTCGCCGCCTCCGTCCTCGCCGCGAGCGCCGTCCTGCGATCTCTCTTCGGCGCCGCCTTCCCCATGTTCACGAGGTACATGTACCAAGATCTCGGCATCCACTGGGCGTCGAGTATCCCGGCGTTCCTGGCCCTCGCCTGCGTTCCCTTCCCGTACTTGTTCTACAAGTACGGCGCACGCATCCGCGCCAAGTGCGCATTCGCCGCCCATTCCGCCGAGTTCATGCGCAAGCTCCATGCCGCTGCTGCCGTCGCAGAAGAGCAGGATGAAACCGCCCACCCGTCTGAGGACGGCGGCGAGAGTGAGCTTTCTCGACCTAGTTCGCGCGGTTCGGAGAGGACTCTTTCCCCATCCATGGAGGCCGCAGAAGCGAGACGGATGAGCCGCGCGCGTTCTCGGCCGTCTGTGTCTAGCCTCGAGCGGAGGCAAAGCCGGCGGTCTTTCACCTACGATGGCAACCCGTACAATATTGATCGGGTGAACACGCACGAGTCTGACTTCCACCTGCACTCTCCGCACAGCAGGGAGGGCCACGCCCACCATGCCCACCATGAAAGCAGAAAGTCCTTGTCTTGAGCGGCCCTTCGAAATTTGGGCATCCGGCGCGGCCACTTTCCGTCACTACGTTTTATTATTCTCACTCTCCATCAACACTATGCCTATAGATTTTTTCAGTTTCCTTTCGTCCATATTATCGTCACTCTCCACCGTCATCAACTTTTTCTTTTATTTCCTATTAACACTCATAATTGCATGGGCGGGTCATAATTCAGTGTGTACATACATCATCTCGATACAAGGGTGTCCATCGGGGACCTCGGAGTCACGGGTATAGACTGGGTTTCTTCTTTTTATCGTCAACAATAATATCTGATTTACATTACCTACGCTTTCGAAACCGTGAGGCTCCCAAATCGGGTACGAGCCTGACATGCTCTGACCGTGTTAACAGTATTTTTTGGTCTTGTTTTTTTTCCCCAACCACGTATGCAGTCCGTGATGGGGCCATAAATTTCAGAAACCCCCGGCTCTCCCGGCCACCTTTACGCTGAGACATGTTTTGGAGTCCGAAGAGGATGTTCCCATAACCTTGATTTTGCGTCCCGTGCCCTTGGACAGTCGGTTGAGCAGAAAGAATCTCCGTGTTTGCAGTAAGCACGGAACGGATTTCAATCCTCCCTTCAAATCCGGCTGTCTGTAATAGCTCAGCACACTAATTACGACGGCTATGCGGGGACTGCCAGCAGACTGCCAGCGACTTCCCAGGATTCCGGTCCTCGCATCTATCGCGTTTTCCTGCTCCTATCCCCGTCAACCGGTGCCTTTGCGCAGCAATCCTTCAAATATGATTCTGTCATTTGTGAGCATGCACGAAGTATTAAGGAGAACATTGGAAGGATGCAACTCTGGAACCTAACGGCCGGTTAATGGGGGTTAGGATGCCGCCGTATTATATGCCTGGATATTTGCCCATCGAGCGGTTTTCTGACACCACTGCCGTATCTTCACCAATCATCGAATAAGATCATGATCCACCTATTCGTAGATTAGAACGGCGACCAAAGCTCCATGCGTCGCGTCTTACGAAGTACGGGAGGATCCCTGCCCAAACCAAGAACCCGGCAGGTCCTAACCAAAATTGTCAGGTAGCATTCGGGAGGGCTCTCGTTTACATAGGTACTTCGTAGCGTATTCTACTCCGGCTTGGCACATTCTGTGCAGGGCAAAGCCTGCTGGATAATTGGCGAATCGTTACCTGGTAGTCGGAATGAAAAAGACCTGAAATTCGAAAGGGCAGGATTCTTAGCATGTTCTTCCGTCGCGTCTTGAAGAACCAGTGACGCTTCGAAGGATCCTTTCTGCCATGGCGAAGCGTACTCTCCATTAATAAGCGATGTTCTCCACTGGCGGTACTCCGCCCAGTGTGTTAAGGCCGTAACCACGTCGCCGAGTCCACGCGACGTGTGTAACATAAACATAAATACAAACACAAACACACACATATCCGTACACAACACCTAAAAGTTACAGAGTCTCGCGGACATCATCATTGATCATTGTACCAGTTTGAGCAAATTCAATTAAACTCAAGTGATACAC